ATCACTCTTAAATGACTACAGAACAACAAAGGTCTGGCGGTAGTAGACAACAGCATAATTTATTTTTAAGTCTGGCGCTTGCTTTACGGGCGCATACCAAACAAGTACCACATACGGCCCGATCGTGTCGGGGTCGACTTTATTATGAAACCCGGTCAAGTGGATGCTATGCCTAAGGCCAAGCCCCAACAGACCTGGCGACATCGTGCCTAGGTTTTGACTGGAGTCTACGCTGATACCAAACAACTCACACGAAGAAGGTTGTGCCCAATGGGTGTTGAGGAAAACTTTCATAGGCCTCGACAAGTGGGGGGAGGGGCGGGGCCTAATAGTCCAATTCGGCCATGGCTCGGTTGCCAGACAGAAACAAGGCCATAAAAAAACACGATAGTTGCGCACACTTACATTTCCAGTAATGGAGTGATTCGTGGATCGGTCTGGCTGGAAGACGACGGCTGATTCCCGTTTGGTTTTGACACCACCTTAAAGTTCACGAGACATACTCCCTCGTTTTGCGCGAAAACTGGTAGAGCTTTCGTCCGCCATGCCACCTGAACAGACTTCGTCACATCCGAACCTCATTCGTGCTAAAGCTTCACTTTAATACAAGTCAAGAAGACTGTCAAGCTCTATGCAACATGCCATGTATGTGCATAACTAAATAGGTATTGATAGCTATAGAATTATTTGTAGTGGGTATTTGTGATTGTGCGTGTATGTGCATCCTAGTATGCAATACCATCCATAAGAAGACCGTTCGGCTGAAAGTTGGTCAAGTGAATGACTTTACTTGTCCCTTTAATGAGTTGTAATTTGTGCTAAAAGTGACAGACGTATCGAAGATGCCGGCGAAACGACGGTCCAACGCTGATAATTATCATAATAATACTACAGCAGAGGACTTCTGACAAGGTGTGTCCAATTAAGCTGCCCTGACAACATGACCAAGTTACGCAGACGAGTTTAGACCACATCGAAAGGAGACTGCGACAAAATCAACATATTGGCCTCCATATCGACAATAA